GAGCAGCTAAATTTTCTAAGATCAAATGCATTCAATCCATTCAGTCTAAAGTCCTCCGTACAATAGTCGATGCTCCCTTCTATGTAACCAATAAAACCCTGCATAATGACCTTAATATTCCATTTATTCTTGATTTTATCCCTCCAAATTTCACCAGAACCTTTCTCATGACCCAAATCCCGTTGTTCAATCCCTATCAAGCAACACCCATCCCTACAATCCCCTTCGTAGGTTAAAGCGGCAGTGGCCACGAGACCTTTTGTAAATATGGATATTTTGGAGTTCTAGCAATGGCTAGATTCTCCACTCAAGTCATGAGTGTCTGTGGTTGTAGCGCTCTTACTCATCCTCCGCTGGTTTTAAATACCAGTGAAGTGGCTGAGGGAGAAGCGTAGGAATCTTCTAAGCCTCGCTTTTCCCTCCACATGGGGGGAGGGGAAGGGCAAGATTGGGTCGGAGATCACCTGGCTGATTGTAAATAGTGTATATAGGTATGCTTGTATCTAAGATGTTTATTTTACTTTTATTTCTATTTTTACTTACTTATGTGTATATATATATTTTTTTTCTCTTTTGTTCTTTTTGTTATTATTTTATTTATTTATATTTCTGTATATACGGTATGAATGTACTCTCTAAACTCTATTTTTAAGTGTCCTTAACTGAGACAGATTGTAATATTTCTCAATAAAATGTTTAAAAAAAAAAAATTGTTGATGTTGCCATTTTTGGTGAAATAATCAAACAACGATTTAAAAGAAGGAAACTATTCATAATGTTCAGAAAATTGAGTAATTTGAGATTCGGGCAATTTAGGATATGCTACAGGCTCAGACATTCAAAGGTAATCAACTCTTTTATATTTCTTTAATATACCTACTAAGTAGCATCTGAGAAAAATTTCACTGAGGTATATTTTAGTAAATTATTTTTTAAGTTATATAATTACTTTATTTTAGAGCATGCAGAAATAAATAAGATAATTCGTCGAATGATGGATTGATGCTTTGATGAATGACTTACATAAATACTAGGCATCTCTAGCTATCAAATAAAAATTATTATTGTAAAAACAAATTAGCTAGTGGTACTAAGCTCAAAGGAAAGATAAAACAATAATTGAGCCATCAAATCAGTAGTTGTTTAGAGGGTTGTATATATCGTTTGGAACCACTAAAATCAAAACAATTTGTGATTCCCTAAACATCCCTCATTTATCCCATTACGTCAGATTTTAAAAACAATTTACCATTAATTTTTTTCACCAAAATTGAACATCTGTTCCACTGTGTAACGACCTTAAACTAGAGATCCGGGGTAGAATCATGACTGCAAATCAATGTTATTTTTTTATTGCAAGGCAGTTTCGGATTATAGTTCTCTCCAGAAGAGCAAAGTCATGTCTTTATAAAACGATATTTCGCCCAGTCTTGTTTTATGGTTGTGAGACTTGGACTACTTGGACTAGGTCTTTGAAAGAAGAATCCGCAGACGTACTATGGTGCTATTCTCGTCGGAGGAGATTGGAAAAAGAGGAAAAATCAGGAGCTGTACACCATGTTTAAGGAGATCGATATAGTTCAAGTGATGAAGATTGCAAGACTGAGATGGGCAGGGATGGAATACACCAAGATAACTATTGATAAAGCATCTCCATGGTAACAGGAGAAGAGGAAGGCTAAAGCTGAGATGGGCTGATGTTGCTGTGGTATGGTGTTGCTGCTGATGCAACAAATATACTGTGGCTTCGTAATTCGATGGCGGCTGCGAGGGACCGAATTGGCGGTAGCTCCTGGCGGAGACCAGGAATCGACACCGGGTTGTAGAACCACGATAATAATTATACAAGAAGAAGTAGAATTATTGCTTTCTATGACAAAACCATCAGTTGCAGTATTTACGGATGTTAGACTATCCTCAGGCCTAATTCATATTCCTGGATATAATAATGTGGGTGACGGAAACAGAGAAAGGTTTGTTGATGTTGTTATAAGAATCTGTCACGGCATTGCCTGTAAGAAGCTACCACCCACAACGATTCTTAAATATTCCATGATCAACCACATTACTATTCAGGTACACCTCGGGCACTCGGTTACAATAACTGGAATTTACTGAAGACCAAGAAGCTCCCTTACAGAATTTTGTTGGTTCTTAATAGAATGTTGTAAGAAGACAAACCATTGGATCATTAGCAACCTTAATACACGGCACACTGAGTGTAGTAAAACCAACAAAGCAGGTATTTATCTCCTTAATTTGCAATTGACTGTAATCTATCCTTCTACCCATACTTTCCGAAATTCTGGAGATTCGAATAATGCATCATTCTTATCGTGACCTTATTTTAACCCGTCAGCCGCATAAATTAAGAGATTATTATGCTTTAGATTTTCCCAATTATTTATGAGGTGGTAGAAAAGATCGACCAACCAGCACTAACTAAATATGATAGTGTACCGTAGAGGTGTCTGGAATCTGTATCGACCCCTAGTAGAAGCCAGACTCACATTGCTTTCTAAATTACGCACCACAGATGCCATCGATGAATTTATATATGATTTCGTTGGAATAGTTACATGTGCAGCGAATTCATCCATTCCTCTCTTCCTCCTTCGCACAGGACTCCACCTGATCACATCTTAGAACTGATAGCTCTAAGAAATACTTGGAAAAAGAGGCGGTGCCGTACTAAAAATCGAAATTACATCGAAAGGATTGTTAATATTTTGACAACACAGATTAGAAGTTTAATAAAGAAATGGAAATCATCATTATGGTAAGACAACGTTCTGGGACCCATGGAGATAATCGTAAATTCTGAAAGCTCTTACAGACGACTTTAAAAAGAAAAATTCCCCTCAAAGAATCGTACAGTTAACGAATCGGAGGCAGTGACGACTTTATAAGTAATGTTTTTATTCATAATGTCAGTTACAAATGGCATCTAACATACAGAGTAATATACTATGGATATATGGGTTGACTGCACGAGTTCACTCCAGGTCTCCTACAGTGAAGAGTGTGACTTCAAGAATGTAACTGCATGAGTGATTTGGTCTGAGGAGCATGAGGGGGAATACCCAAGAATAGTAAGGGGGAGAAGGGGAGTCGGAAGAGGACGGCAAAGGAAGTTATCGATAGTTAATATTCTTAAGGTAAGGTCTGTGAGAAAGTGCCCTTTTGCTGAAATTGGTTATTGTTCCCTGAGTCTTGATAATGGGTCTTCTGTCCAGTCGGTACATTCTAGATAACTATTTCTAAGCTATCAGAGATAGCTTGACCTGGCTATCTAGGGATGCTTTGTTCTTTTATCCTTTAAGTCGTGAGAAACTACAAGATAATACATGATTCGTCAATTGGGATATTTAACAAAATAAATGTTAAATTAATATCATTATTATTATTATTATTTGTTACGGATTAAGTCCATTCCGTGACTGTACTCTCAAGTAATTTACAATAAAGAATCACGATTCACTTGGAATCGGTCAATTCATTCTCATGATCGATTCGATATTTATTTTAAAAAATTTGTTTTTTTAAATGTATATGGTATTTCCTAAAAAAAAAAAAAAAAATCGTTAAGATCGGACAACTAGGAGGAAGGATATGGTCTCTAGTTTTTTTCCCTAAAGAGGCGAAAATTTGGATAAATTTAAAATACACTTTTTAATTGTTGAGACTAAAAAAACTTTTTTCTACAGATATTTAATAAAGTATCTTTCCTACGAACATTTTTCATAAGAAATAAGTACCTAAATTTATACCTTTATTCTCAGTTCTATATTCCAACACTGCAATCACCACCTCTGGAATCAACTTACTCACTGTCTGCCTAGATAACTTTTTCAACTATAAATATCACTAAAATGCCACTTAAAAATATTGAAATTGGAGTTAGTCATTCTGAAGTTTATAAAAGCAAAGAAAGTTGTGTGGTTTATAAAATCAGATGGAGTGACTAGATTTTTATTGCCTGTCGTCGATATATTAAATAGACATTTTGTAATTATAATGGTCTTAATGACTTGTTATCTGTAAGCTTTAAGCTTTAGCTCCGTTTAGAATGCACTTAAAAAAAATTTATAATAGCCCAGCATTGCCAGAAAATAATTTCTATTCATAGTAGATCGGTAAGTGAAAGTTGTGTGTTGCGCGCACCAGATTTTTTCGTTACTTTCTGAATCTACTCTTACACGAGCACTTTGCGATTTATAATCTACGCTTATTTACACTACTATTTCATCTGTTTTTTCCTCTCTATTTGTTTTATCTTATTTTGTAATTTGTATATGTTCAGTTTTTTTTTCTCTCGTACTTTATTTTTAATTACCTATTAATCTAGAAATATTTAATTTAATGTTTGTCCATACTGTCATGTTTTATTTATTTTGTGTTTATAATTTGTTCTACAGGATCAATAGTCCCAGGATAATAAAATTATATTTCATTTCATTTACAATTCAAATACATAGACCAAAATCATACGTAAAATTAAAAAAAAACATCTCAGTCCAATTTAAATTTCCTTTTTATTTATACGATTAATAACTTTTTATTTGCATATATTTGAACCATGGCTTTTAATTTCAATCAGTAAAAAATAATGTTTTTGTCTGAATAACCATAAAGTTTGAGAATGTTTATTACTGTTTTTTTTTTTTAGTAAAAAGTTCTTTTTTAATTTACGTAAGAATCGATTCATCACAATAATTGAATCATTCAGAATCGATTGAGTAAAAAGAATCGAATTTTACTTCACTAGTGCCATCCCTCCCCCGGTCGATAGCGCATGAATCTTCCCCTACTCTTCCCAAGATATTTTATTGTTCTCCTCTTCTTAAAAACAGTGCAAACAAAATTATAATTTAAATAAAAATTCATAGGCTATATACAATTACACATCCTATGTGTAATTTTATGTCTATGTGCAGCATGTGTGTGTGCGTGCGTTTGTGTAATATGAACATGGATTTTAAAATATAACAAATAATTACCATCGAGAACCATTTTTGCAGCAATGGCTGCTGGAAGTCCTACCATACGGGACATGGCTGTGTGTCCTTTTACATCACCATATTCAACCAAAGTTATTCCTCTACTTTCTCTATTTCCATTAGGCCACATAATACCTATGTCATGTCTCATCACAATCACATCCCTATCAGCTTCGCCTAAAAGTAAAACGTTATGTTTATTAAATACATTATAGGGCAAAAATAAGGCATTCTTGAACTTTGTATGTTTAAGTAATTAATATTTCCTACTTTAATTCAATTTAAGATTTCAGGAAATAAATAAGCATTAGGAAAATATATTTATTTATAGAAATCATTATAAGCTTTGACCAGAGATGGACAAAATCCGAATCAATGATTACTACTGAAAATAAAACTTGCGCCAATATTACAATGAAGATTGCGCCAATTTTATAATTGATATTAGCACTATAAATGTAGAAAAATGCAACACAATTACCTGACTGCAATCGTAATAACGTTGTAAAAATTAATATAACCGTAATCGTTGATTATGATTATGGCCATCTATGCCTGTGACCGGGGTGCCCATCCCCCCAATGTCGATGGCGCAAGAACCTACCCTCCCCTGCCCTCCAAAGATATTTTATTGCTCCCTTCCGTAAAAATAGAGCAAGCTAAGTTAGAATTATCATATATAATCAGATTATTTATAAATACACTTGTTGCGGTCAATTCCAGTGTGTTACCCTTGTCCATTGGTCCAAAAATTCATGACCTTGTCAAAATTTGTCCCCCTCAAAAATTCAAAAACCCGTCAAAATATGCCTCCCTCAAAAAGTTTGACAACTTGCGCCTTCTGGGCACACCTCCTGTGACATATTTTACAATCATAATAACAATACAGTTCTATTAAAATTAAATTACAATTGAAGAAACGAGTGGACAAAGGTGATTGATGACAGTTTCGGAAAATAGGTCAAAATTAGAGAGATAAACTGCTGCAGATTTCAAAAAAATTAAAAATTAAAAAAATTACTCACATTTAAGTTATACACCATAGCGGAAATTTACGTAATCCGATGCGTTTTCAGAACTGCCTAGCTCAAACGCAAGTGTTTAAGCAAGAGTTCTATTTAACTGGCCATTAAATATTAATCTCAAATATTCAGTCCATTTAAATTTATTTGAAATGAGGTTGTATCGATTTAAACTTATTGGCAACATTTTCAAAACGTTTTTGAATCAGTATTGGAAACGCACCTTGGGTTGTCTTATGCGGTTGATTTTTATTCACCTTGCCATTGTCAATAATTTACGATTTGACACAAACTTGAAGGAATTTGGAGAATATTATAGAAATTACTTAGTATCAATTTCCATTTAGTAATTAAAATTAATACAAATAATTGTTAGCAATATAATGGCTGCGATATGTTGAAGGTACTGATCATATGAAGTGAGAGTTAGGTTATTAAAATATTGTTATGGAGTTATGAAATTTTAGGTTTTATATTCCAAAAATTAATTGATAGTCCGAACAATACGGACAATTCCAAACGTTACAGGCATGGCACTTACAGCCTTTACTTAAATTTTGTGTAATTTTCAATAAATTTAAATTAATTTTTGGACGTCTTTTAATTAATAAGTTTGGACGTCTTATTAGAGATAGCGTTTATTTCTATTGAAGTACAAACAGTTCGCCGTGGGCTCGATTCCCTCCTTAAATATCAAAGTTGTGTGAATTTCAGGCATAATTTTATATTCCAGCTTAATAGGATTTTTTCTGATTGAAAGAGTATTGGTTGCCTTAATTCCGAATAAACAAAGTGTTGAATTTTTCTTATGGATTTTTCGTTCTATCCATTTTATGAGTGAAAACATACCATATTAAATATATTACGCTACTGTTAGTGCAAAATATCGTATATAAAATTTTAACATTTATATTCTGTTTTAGCTAAAGATAAAATTTTGTAGTCTACTGCTATGTAATATAACACAAGAAAATAAAATATGAAATTATAATAATTAATCATAAAGGAATAATATGCATGTTCAGTATCTACTGGTTTTTTTTTTTTTTTATTTAATCATGAATCATCAAATTCGCAATTTTAAAACGCGGAAGGCTTCCTCCATTTAATATTCGCTGGAGAACAAAATTGTGGATAACAAACTCGCGAATGTTGAGAGATTATTGTATTTCCGAAAACGGCTTCTTCCGAAGATTTTATTGCCGATAAATTATGTTTAAAAAAAAATACTTAACAAAAAACTAAGATATCTTAGTTTAGCTGCTCAAAAGTCCTTCTTGAATGTTTTTTTCAGCGAAAAACTCTACTTTTATTTGATGTAAATGTTGTCTAGTTTACTGTGCTGAAATTGGTGATTGTTTAAATTAAGTTTTTTTATAGTTATCGCTTTTTATAAAAAACAAACGTGACGCCCAAAGAAACATAAAACTTAAATTTCCCAATTTTCTGTTGGAAATTGAGACATTGTTTATATGATCTCTTTAGTAGTTATTTATGTCTACAATATCTCTCTTTTAAAATTTTTCCTCAACTTACGGGATACCCTGTATAATTGTTATTGTTAATAAAATTAACGAGGAAATAGATGGCATTTATTTTAAGATCAAAAAAACTTAAAATAATGGAAATTAATTTAAAAAATCAACGTTTATTTAACTAACGGACTATTTTGACTAACGAATTTTTACTATTTTAAGTATTTTTTATGAGTGCTCCTGGGTCAACTCTTTTACCAATATTGCACTACGGTCAACTAATGAGTACTCGGTCATAATATTTCCTGTTTTATTGAAGTGTAAACTTTTTTAGGCGTGTTTTGCACTTGTTAGCCAAGTCAAAGTAGACATGTTATGTTGGGAAAGGTCGGATGATTAAAATTTCTTAGGCCGAGTACGCTAAAGTGTGTGCACAGTACGGTGCGTTGCTCGGCAACCTGATAACCAAGTTTCAAGATAAACAAATAATTAGGAGTTCAAATTCCGGTGCTGGGTGGGACTTTAACTCGGCAGAATTCCCTCGCTCTCTCTACCGGTCCTGCAAAATCCTGTGTAGTCTAACAGGCAAGGAAGGGGAGACAAAAAAAAGGTTGCGTTCCTTGTAACTATTTATTAAAAAAAGACAATAATACCACAAAAAAAAGTGGCCGCGCTGTCCGAAAATGGCGTCCAAACATATCGGATTGACTAGAGTTATTTTTTTTTTTATATTCTGTATTTGTCTCAATTTCGTCATAGTTGGCCTTTTATCAACACTAAATAGTTACAGAATAATAAAACATTAATTTTATTATATTAATTTTTAAAATATTTTAAGGAGTTACTTTGAAAATACAGTTAATCGGCGGAAGAGCGGTAACAATTTCTTGTTAGCTATTTCTATTTAAGTTGTTAAGTTTAGAAAAATATGTTTCCTATAAAAGCTGTCATAATTCGTATATGCTTTAATACGTAATTGAAAAATGTCAGCTAAGTCACCTATAAAAATAGATAATTAATCAAAAACAAAAAACTATACATGTTTTTTTCGAATTTTCAAAACCTTACTTGTTTTGAAAGTTTGATTTGAAATTTTAAGTTGTTTTAAATTAAATACAACCATTTTTTATCTATCTCGCTTTAAAAAGAGAAATATAGTGTAAAGCAAAAAAAGTTCATTATTTCAATGGTTTTTGGAGCACTGCAGCGAACCCAGAAGGCTTTCAAGGGCGAAAACTTGGATTTTTTTACTGTAGTCAATAATTGGAGAGAAGAATAGTTGATGAAGGTCTGAACTTTGGGTCGAAACGTCGGCAAAAATAAATATAATATAATTGTTTTTACTATGTTTTTTTGACTGATCACCCCAACCATTCTTCTCTTATTGTATTTTTATGTTCATTACATACCTAACAATAGAAAAAGAAATTTGAATTACCCTACGTTTTGCAAGATAGACCCCTTTTTTGTGCTAATTTGACTGGGCTAATTAAATTGAGCCGTCAGATGTATGATGTGTAAAGCTCTGGTAAAGTCTGCTGGAGTCGACTAATTGAAGTGTTTTTGTATATGGATTAAAATATCTCAAAAACTAAAAATCAAATCTGCATATTGTTCGCGAAGGAATTGTTCAGCATTTCATTCTCTCTGTAATAGGTTATTATTCAAAATTGTATCTGAACGCGACGCTGTGTTAGGAAAGCGAAAAGGAAAATAGTGTCGAAAATCAAATTATATCGTGTTTTATTGAAGATATAGATTAAAATATCTCATAAACTAAACATTGGTGTACTTTAAAAACTGCATACTGTAAGCGAGGGAATTGTTCAATATTACATAATTTATATTTCATATTATTGATCTCGCGCCTTGTTGATATGTCCTCTTCTAGCGTGTGGTCTAAAGCACACACTTTAGTTGTTTAATTTAACCCAAGACATTAATTAATTGTTTTTTTGGACAATTTTATTGTAAGATCGTACAGATTTTTTTTCAGAGTGCAAAGTCATTCAATATATGTCGTATTAATTACGGGATTTAAATTACTTACCAAGCACTAATTTTTCAGCTAGATAGCATGATAGAGTGTCAAGTGGTGTATCCATTTTGTTTATTAACTTGTCACTAAGAAGTCCCATGTTTTCTATTGCTTCCAGTTTATCATCTCCAATCTTTTCACTAACTTTACTTTTTAAGTTGCCATAAAAAACATCCATATTTGAAAGACCAAGCAATGTGCAGACCAATTCTCTCTGAAATAACAACATAATTAATCAATAAATAGATAGTAAATATTAATGAATTCTGTTGCTCAATATCATCTTAATAAAGTACCATTTGATTGATGTCAAATAACAGTTATGTTATATTATTGAAATAAACCTACAGATTTATTATTATTTTATTTTTGTTCACGCCATCAAACTTAAAACGAAACGATTGCAAGTTGAAATCCTAAGTTAGAAAAGTGTTGACATTTTTAGGTAGTAATAGGAAGCAGTAGACGGCTGTTTTAGGTAGTCCTATTGCATTTATGTAAAGTAAATAATGGGCACACAGCCATGTTAATATTCAACAATTAAAATAATTTACTGATTGACGGGGCATGCCGATGGTTGAAACGAGCCTGAGACCCCTTCTCTGGTAAGTAGTGGAATCTACCAATGATGGCCAGCACACTAGTGAGAGGAAGCTAAGGTGACAACAATGGTCGGTCAGATGGCCCATGTCGCAGGTGTGAAACGCCTCTTCTGTCGGTTTGGGACTTATGAGGTAGGCAATACCCTGGCAACTCGCCCACGAGGCTCTGAGGAGGCAGCCCCTCTATCTGACTAGGAGGGCGATGGCTGATAACCCTCCCCTCTTAAAGCTCTTCATCCCGAGGCTTCAACGCGAAATAGCCGGCAGATCATATGGTAAGAAACACGGAAACCGTCAAATGGACTTCAGACCAGGAATGTGGAACATTTTAACTTTATATAGGCCGGGTGGGCTTCAAGTCCTCCTTTCAGAACTGGACAAATACAGACTTGACATTACCGCTCTTCAGGAGATCCGCTGGACCGGCCATGGGCTGTTGCCATGGGAGACGAAATTCCATACCATATATTATAGCGGCCACGAGAAGAATCACTCATTTGGCACTGGGTTCGTTGTGAGTGGTTGGGTGAGTCAACAGGTAATTGGATTCAACCCTATTAATGATCGCCTATGCACCATCCGCATCAAGGGAACTTTCTACAATTACATGCTATTTAGCTGTCATGCACACACAGAAGCCTCAAGCGACGATGAGAAAGACGCCTTTTATGATGCCCTGGAACGGGCCTTCGATGCATGCTCCAGATCCGATATTAAAAGAAGAAATCAGGTACGGATCCAGTCTGACTGCTCTGAAGCATTTCCCCCCAACAAACGATTAGGACAGGAGGATGGACTGGCCTGTCTCCTCTTCAATCTTGCACTGGAGAAACCTGTACGGGATTCAGGAATCCAGACAGACCTACGATATTCACGCGCACTTTACAGATATTGGGATACGCTGACGGTCTGGATATCGTGGCCAGGACCCGATCGGCATTGGTAAAGACCTTTAAGAAACTCATAGACGCTGCTTCAGCCATGGGATTAGCCATAAACGAGAATAAAACGAAATATATGCTCACAGGGACTAGTGGCGAGGAGGCATTGAGTGTTGGCCTTACACATTCCAAAGGGTGAACGACTTTACGTATTTGGGATCTCTAGAAACTCATAAACGATGTCTCTGCTGAGATAAGTAAAAGGCTGGTGGTAGCAAATAGGGCATATTTTGCCTTAATGAAAACTCTCCGCAGCAGATTCATTACCAAGGGCAATAAACTGGTCATATACAAGACTCTTGTACGCCCAGTTCTTACCTATGCTTCCCAATCTTGGACCATCTCAAGAAGTGATGAAAATAATTTTTGATTTTCGAGAGAAACATCTTATGCCGAATAGTTTTCCCAGTGAGAGATGGAGATGGATGGAGGATTAGGAAGAACAGGGAGCTTTATGACCTTCAGTTGGGCTGGCCATGTCGCAAGGACAAAAGCGAAAGAAATTCCTAGAAAAGTATGATTCCTAGAAAAATAAAAAGTGGACACCGCCATTCGTAGTACGCGACGGCCTGGCAGGCCATGGCTTCGATGGGTTGATGGAGTGGCGGCGGACGCGCGGAGCCTGCTACGGATCAGAGGCTGGAGAACGGCAGCACAAAATCGGGCCGAATGGTAGCGACTCATTGAGGAGGCCAGGACCCACCCAGGATTGTTGCGCCACCTAGATAGATAGATAAATAGACGGATTGAAGGGTATATTCGCATTCTAAGTATTAAAACTGATTAAATAGTTATGGCAGATTTCAAAATATATACCTGTTACTTTAGCCTGTAGCTGATAGAAAAAACAACCAAACCAGAAAAGTAGAAAATGTGATAATAATGGAAAACATTGAAGATGGATAAATTACGATAAATCTACACTTTTGTTCACGTTCTAATTTAGTTATACTTATTCTTATTCTAACAGGCTTCTTTTCTCGATCATAAACATTTAATTATTTTGAATGGTGCCCTAAACTTTTAATGAGACTTTGAGGGTCGTAAAAAGTCGCAAAGATTGTGTACTGAGAGGCTAAGCAAATGTCATTTTGTCTTTTTAAACTTAATTTTTCTAAACTTCGAGTTATTTAATTAAATTTTAAACTAATATCAGATATAGAGAATATTTTCTAGTTTATTAGCGTATTCCTTTTGATTATGAAATTATTAATGGGAGAAGGCGATCCCCCCCAGCTTTAGACATGTTTGAGAGAATGGTCTATAAATTGAAATATTTCTACTCAAGGTAGGATGGTATGTCATGCATGCTCTTTCTACACCTGATGTTTATTTATTTGTCAGATGATGTTTCTGTTTATAGTGTAACGAGGCTGCATAACAGTTTCATGTGTATTAATGATCTACCAGTGATTGTTCTTTTAAAATTAACATGGATTAAAACCACTTTTCTCTGTCTAATCTGTACACAGATACTTTTTCCTTTAAACAAATATTTATCATAATTTTAAAAATGTCTACTACTTTATTTTAGGAGAGGGAAAAACTTAACTCCTCCAAATTTTCAAATATTAGAACTTTTTTTTTTCCTATGTCATAACATGCATTTATGTTGCTTTCATGCAATAATTACCTAATTTCGATATAAATTAGGCTCAGGAAAATTTAATATTTGATTCGGACTTATGCTGTTTCTGCATTCAACTGTTGTTTTACAGACAGCTGAAAACTTGGAAAAAGGTAACATTTTATATTTTTTAATTAACAATTTATATTAATTTAAATCTATTTTACTATTTAATTTGATCAATTTAATGGGGCGATGGATACAACAAAAAAAAAAAAAAGGCTTGGGAATTTGTAAAAAGTACAAGCGTTACGAGTGATAATTAACATAACATATTGTAAAATGAAGAATATGATACTATATATAAAAATAAAATGATATATATAGTAAATATATTTTTTTAATAAATATATATTTTTCAATAAACAAGAGTATTCATTAATGAGGTTGTGGGAAAATATTTGCATTCACTTCTGTAAATTTAAGCGTATTAATTTTGATAAACGTTAATACTGTCGTATTCACTTTTATTAGTGTAAATGGAGCCGGATTCACTTTTACAATCGTGAATATGCCCGTGTTTATATTTACAGCCGTGAATACGTATCATTTGTGTTTATATTTCTTTTTATGAATATAAATATATTTATATTTACATTAATAAGTACCATAAATATAAATGGTATTCGTATTTATAAATTGAATATTAATATGCCTACCTCTGCTGGTCATGCGATCCATCAGTAGGTGCAGAAACCACTCATGTTATAGTCCGTGGGCCAGACCCTCTAACGTGTACCCCTCCCCACATCCGTATAAATTGCATATCGTTGTGTGCCTCGTAACTACTTATTAATAAAAAGCCAATGTTACCACAAAAAAAAGTGAACGAATTTCTTCATAGTTGGTCTTTTATTAAAGCTGGATAGTCAGAGAATAATAAAACATGAAAAAATATTAACAACTAATTGGCTTATGCAATAAAAAACATCGGTAAAGTCAATTTTTTTAACAAAACAATGTTCAAGGTGAAAATTAAGCCTCTCTTATATTTAAACGGCCAACAATATCGCAAAACGTGCTGAAATAAAACATCTGGAGAATATATTTCTCTTTCTAAAAAACTGATTACTTTTTAAAATATTTGAAGTAGTTCCACACATAAGCGACAGAAAAGCGGCACTGGCGTGGGTGCCTTCAGGCCTCTACCACACCATTCAGTGCTCATAAATGGCTTAGTTATCACTATAACTATAACACTATATAATAACAGATTTTGAACATTATATTAGTTGTATTAACGAACAATTATTAATGCTATAATTTAATTGTCAAAAAACTAAAAATAAAATATTTTTTTTAATTTATTATTTTATTTCTTATTTATTTTTTAAAATTTAATTTCCTTTATTCTATACCGAGGTCGTTTAAGAAGGCATCTATTGTAGTAATGATTTAATTATAATAACAAAACTTAATCATTAAAACATTTATGCAATAATTTAATTATAAAAAATATTTTTTTAAATTTATTATTTTATTTCTTATTTATTTTTTAAAATAGAAATTCCTTTATTCTATACGGAGGTCGTTTAAGAAGGCCTCTATTGTAATAATGATGTAATTATAATATAATGATATGATTATAGTAATAAAACTTAGTCCAAAAATATTTTGCTGAATATCTTGAATTTTTTATTTAACGTTTGTAAATTAACATTTTGTTTTGTATATTTGATGATTCTTAGAGGTAATTTAAATTGTATATTCTTCCCCGGAAATGAGTCATATTAATACCTGTTTTATAAACTAGAACAATATATACCTAATCTGAACTACATATAATGGATAGTTGATGGGTGGTTTAGTAAAACTCATATATCATTAATAAACAATGAATTTTCTTTATTTTGTTCGGAAGTTGGACCATATCATAAAAAATTAGGAAATTTGAATATTGAATGCATTATTCAAAGATGAAAAGGGCGATGCTATAAGTTCTTCTAGGTAACCATAGCTGATCGTTAGCATTTGGTCTCAAAATGAGCGAAAACGCCAAATTGAACCCAAAAATTGGAAAATACATTAAGCGAACAAGAAAGAAAGTGCCAAAATCTCGGAAAAGAAAACAAGGATCAGTATGCATTATATGGCTTAACGAATATATATTAGACACATGAACAGAACATTTCAAGATGCTGCTAAAAGGGAATCAAATGCTGGAGAAGTTTGGATGATATTAAGGAGACGATGCAGGTTTATTATGATGAAGACTATTTTATCAGCATCAAAGATTTGTTTGAAGCCATTGGCTAGACAGTTGGTCTGGACGAACTAAACCGAACAACTTGGCAATGTTTTGCGCGTACATAGGCAATAAATGTATTAGAAAATGATATGAAAGGACCCCTTGTCCCTTTACTAGAAAATGTAATACCCATCGAAATTCATTTCTGTTTAGTGTACCTAAGATACTGTACTCGAAAATCGTAGAAGCTAGAATAAGATATATTGTCGAATGCCAGAGCGATATGGATTGAGAAACTCAAGTTACCCATGGAGCAGAAGTTGCTAATTGGGACTGTCTTCACTTTAAGGCAGGTTTAAGTCCATCAAGAAAGAAAAATAACCACCTATCTGTTTAGTGCCTCACACTTTGGATTCAGATTCCTTGGAAATCTTTTGCAATTGCACTAAACAGGAGGAGAAACATTCCCCTTTCTCGATAGACCTCTCTATAACCTGCTTCAAAGTGAAGATAGTCCCAATGTGCAACTTAAATAGCAATTGAAAATATAGTTGTTTTCACCATAATAAACCTCGTTTACTTCGTCCAGACCTGCTGACTTGCCAATTTCTTCGAACAAATCTTTCTTGCTGATAAAATGGTCTTCACTATAATAAACCTGCATATTCCCCTTAATATCATCAAAAGTGCCCAGGCATTTGAACCTTTTTTAGCAGCATCTTGAAATATTTTGTTCATCTATTTACTATATATTCGTTTAGCCATATAATGGACACTGACCCTTGTTTTCTTTTCCGAGATTTTGGCACTTCCATTCTCGTTCGCTTAATGTATTTTTCCAATTTTTCGGTTCAATTTCGCGTTTTCCCTCATTTTGAGATCAAATAAATATTGACAGTTCCTGTTACATAGAAGAACTTCTAGCATCGCCCTTTCTATCTTTGTTTGTGTAGAGAGAATAATGCATTCAATATTAAATTTTCCTATTTTATATGATACAGTCCGACTTCCGAACAAAATAAAGGAAATTCATTCTTTATTAATGATATATGAGTTTTACTAAAGAACCCATGAACTATTCATTATATGTAGTTTAGATTAGGTATATATTATTTTAGTTTATTAAAGAGGTATTAATATGATTCATTACCAGGGAAGCATATACAATTAAAATATACAAAACAAAGTGTTAAATTACAAACGTTAAATATTTATGAGCACTGAATGGTGTGATAGAGGCCTGTAGGCACCCACGCTAGTACCGCTTTTCTGCCACTTATGTACATGTTTTACGGAACCGCTTCAAATATTTTAAAAAGTAGTCGGTGTTTTAGAAAGAGAAATATATTCTCCAGATAATTTTAGCACGTTTTGCGTTATTGTTGGCCGTTTAAATACAAACGACGCTTGATTTTCAACTTGAAAATGTCTTTGTTATAAAAATTGACTTTACAGGTGTTTCTTATTACCTAAGCCAATAAGAATTATATGATATTAGTTTTTAATATTTTTTCATGTTTTATTATTCTCTGACTATCCAGCTTTAATAAAAGACCAACCATGACGAAATTAAGCCAGATGCTGATTCTCAGTGAACAAAAAACTAACTAAAGTCAAAGTTGTCAGTCGGCCATGTTTGGACGCCATTTTGGGGCAGTTCGTTCACTTTTTTTGTGGGAACATTGGCTTTTTTTTAATAGTTAATAGTTAGTTAGTTAATAAGGAACACAACGATATACAATTTATAGGGATGTGGAGGGGGTGGGCGCACGGTAGGAGGCTCTGGCCCACCATTTATTATTTCTGCGCTCAACGATCGAAAAAGACGTCATGTATTTACGGAACTACTCAACAGACTAACGTGATCCTTACACACTACACGCATCTTGTCTTTCTAAGCTCCTTTTCATTGAAAAAGATTTTTCGCATTTTTTTGACTGAAGTTGTTTCTGCACTCACCGATTCAATTATTCATGAATTATTGCATTAAATTCTATAAATCATACAATGATTGTAATTCTAATGGTCTTACCCATGTTATTTCTGGGCCTTTTGGATGAAGTGCTGGATGAGGGTTTGGGTCTATTAATCCTAATTTTTGTAGACCCTGCATCGCGCTTACAAAACCTGAAAGTTCAATAATAGTCAATTTTACCAAGACATTGAAATAAATCGAAATGAATAAACAAATTATCCTTACCTCTAAATCTTAATGTGCCTCTAAATACTGTACTAGCCTCTGCTGCTATTCCATAGAGACTCGCATAACGAATGCTATCTCTATTTGGATATCCTTCTAAAGCAAAGCCAGGCAAAAAATTAACATCATTACAGTGATTCAATACATCTCCTCCAGCGGGAACTTCAACGACCTAAAATAAAAATTAATCATCTAAAATATATACGTATATACCTATATACAGGGTGTCCCTTAAGTAGAAGGAAATATTTATAATGTTAATATTAGACATCATGATCTACAAAAAAGTTCATACAAACAATTGCCCAATTTCCAGCAGAAAGTATGATGTGTTTTTTAACCGTCACGTTTTTTGTTGAATAGGAATCGATAACTTAACAAATATTTGATTTAAGTAATTAAACATTGCTCCATCTTAAACTAAATAAAATATACTTTAAGCAAAAGTAGAATTTGCGATTGTTAAAATAATTTAAAGAGGACTATTGAACGGCAAACACAGCTGAAAAAAATCTGGTTCGCGCAACTATGAATAGAAATAATAGTGGTTAAATAGTTGACTGTCGTTGAATAATGAGGAGAAGAATAGTTGGGGTGTTTCTGTCGAATAAGAAGGCAGAATAAATGATAATATTTATTTTGTCATCTGCCGGCGTTTCGACCTGAAGTTCAGGCTATCATCAGGGCTAAGAGAAGAACCAGATAACAAGGTATGAGAAACATAAGTAGTGTAGGTAAAAAAAAATAATAGAAATTTATGAATAGAAATTATTTTCTGGCCATGTTGGGCTCTTATAAAATTTTTATAATATGATTTCCATTTTTAACTGAGCAAAATCTAAACAAATACAGCTTACAAATCATAAATACCATTAAAATAACAAAAGTCCTATTTAATATATCACCGGTTGATTATGGATTGTAGGATTCATTGATATTGGATTGTACGACTATAACTTATTAAACTGATATTTTCCATTGCAGAGTTTAAATATTAATTTAAATAATGGTATTGGTTTGATTCAGTGGATTTTTTTATTTTATTTTATTTTTTTTATTGATGATATTTACAACTGTATTACAAGTAAAAATACATTCAGTAAATGTGAACAAAGGAATAAAATAGCATGAAATGACATGTTGAGAAACTACCCATTGGTAGCACTCTAAAAATGTATTTACAAAAGGAGATATCGAGGCCATCTTCTTTTCAGACGCCTCTGAGGATTGTCAGGGATCGAAGAGGAAGCAAGGTTAGAAACGAGAGGGTTTGGATGGTTCTGAAGTTTGTTATGGAAGGATAGGTATCTGGATTGGGCCAGGTCAGAAACATAAGGAACATTAAAGTCGTTATGGATGATTTTGTTTGTGACAAAGTAAGGAGCAGTGAGGATTTTACGAAGGATTTTGGATTGTAAGGATTGGATACGAGAGGAATTCTATGGCTTAGTGGTTAATTCGTTAAGTCCGAATATGTCTTATTGTAGTCATGTATATGAGTCTTTTGTAATTGACTGGGGACTTAGAGCGTTTGTCTAGTAAGTGCTGGAGTAGTCAGAAACGTCGAGCTGTTTCTTGTCGTTTCAGTCTGGTATGAGGATCCCAAGTTAGACGTTTGTCTAAGTGGAGTCCAAGGTATCGAATTTGTTCAACAGGGATAAGTGGGGTATTATTAAAGGATACTGTAGGACAAGAGGACATAGGTTTACAACGAAGGGTAAAGGTGATTTGATGGGACTTATTGGAATTTATTTTTATTCTCTAGTTTTGACACCATTCTTCAAGGTTTGTGATGTGTGATTGAAGGGCTTGGGATGCAATTGTTGGGTCGTTATTAACTGATAGGACACATGTAGGACGAAAATATATCCGTCCTAAGTCTATAGCGGACACTTATTAAATTATCGTAACTATCTATTGTATTTCATCGTTACTATCGAACTAATGATTGTGAAATACTATCGTCTATCGTCCAGCTTTATTCCGATTATATAGCATCAGAGTTTTTTATTTCCATTTTTTCAGGTTCTTCCGTTTTTTTCCCCTTTAAATGAACTTAAAAGTCACTTCCATCCAAATATATGAAATAGTAATTAATATTATAAGTAACTACTCGTTTTATGTCCGTTCTACTTATATTATTTTTTAAAAATTAAATGTTGTCAGAATAGGTACTGATTATTAAACTTTAATCCCTTTTTTTCCTCTTTTATCATAGAAGTTTTCCCAACAAATAAACTTTTTCACCTCAGTGGAAGCCCTGATTGCAACGCTTCATTAAGTCTTCTCTCCACTTCTTGTGATTGAAACTATGATTTCCGAATATCCTTCAGTCACGTCCATCAATAAGTTAATCTTAATTTTACTCGATCTATCAGAATGTCAATAGTGCCTCTTAATGTCATTCCGAATGACCGTGTAGGGTCCGTGATAGACAGATTGAGCTACTGTAAAATGATACATACTGTATAAAATGTATCATCTGACGGATTATCAATTTCAGGTAGATGGGTGAAACTTTCTTGGTTCAGTTTTACGCTTTTCGAGGCTATGTTCTGAGCTCTCTGTTTATAAAAATGTTTATAAACTTTGCATCCTTTGTAGTTTGCTGGATGTTCTTCACCACAAAGGGCACATTTCGCAGGCAGGTCTCGAGGTCTCTGAAAAGTGTCTGATGCGTGTGGGCCGGCACATTTCACGCACCTGGCCCGGTGATGGCAATAAGTCTTTGTATGGCCCAAGTCTTGGCACTTAGTGCATTGGACTATTATAGACTTTTGTCTAGGCTCTTCAAATTTAATGGTGGAATATATAAGCCTCTTCACTTGAAAAATTTCGATGTTATTGCTGGCAGGCTCTAAATCGACGAAAAATAGTGGTAAAGGATATTTTTCCGTTGGGTGTAGTACGCATGATATGTGCCTAACATTGTGACCTATTTCTTCTAGGCCACTTTTGATGGAAGATATTGGGGTGCTTGAGTGTAGTCAGAGGACTTGGTGAGAGCAACACCACTCGGTATGGCTTTTCTTGTCTTAATTGTTAACAATGAAAATCAAAGTTTTTGGACGTAAAGTAATTTATAAGTGTTTTGTAATTTTCTCGAGAGTTTGTGTTTATTTTGATATCATTAACTCTGGAGAAACAGCGGAAATTGGTCTGTCCAATCAGACCGGCAATTTCTTGACCAAATGTAATGAAGTTATCGATTTTAGATATGAAAATAGGTGACGGCTCGGGCTCAGAAAACTCTCGAGGCTCCGGAATCTTGCTTGATATTTTATTAACGGAAACATGATTATTGGTGTTAGTGGTGGTTGGTGCAGTTGGCTCTGATGCTATGGTAATTGATTTGCTTCTGGTTTGAGGTGGTATATATTTTGCTCGGCTGATTGTTTAGTTTTAGTAGATTTACTTTTTTCAGTTGACTTTTTAGATTTATTTTCCTCTGCTAACTGTTTAGGTTTAGCTGATTTGTTTTTTTTCTTATTGGGTGAATTAGCTCCCGACCCAGGAGGAGTGTTTCAATGACGTTTTTAAAGTGTTCGTCTTTTTAAATACTGCGAATCTGTTTCGCTAACCTCAGAAAACGGGGTTTCGTCCTCCGAATCTTCACTTGACGAACTCTTATCTAAATTCATATCTTCCATATTATGATAAGAGAGAGAGAAAAAAAATATCTACTCCTAAATATGACAATTAAAAAGATTGAAGATTACGAAATAAAGTATTAAAAAAATAAACGATATACATAACTACAATCAGAAATAAAATAAAACATTTCTTACAATAAATATTTAAATTAAATAAAACAGTCTCTGGAAAAAAAAAAAAAGAGAAAATAAATATAATGTCTTGGGTTCGAACTGAAGACCTGATGACTGAAGGAAGTTAGTAAACAGAGCCCCCGGCCATGAACTTATCGGAATATGATAAGGCACGAAAGGAAGGGAATTAACGGCCTCTCGATCTAACCAAATGAGCACCAATTTATCATTTATTTATTGTTAATAAATAGTACCTCACCTGCGTGTACGTCAACGTAAAAGTGTAAAACTGCTTATTAACTCACTGTTATTTAAGTGTTACACCACAACTTTGAAGTTTGAGCACATTACAAAGCAACAAATACAGAGCGACATGAAAGTTATACTGCACTTGCGGCCATGAAACTTGCTACAACGGTGGATTTTAAATATATTTTTTTTCAATCTTAGAAAAACATTGAAGAGTTTACATATAGTAAGAAAATTTCATTCAATTTCCTTGGAAACATGATTTACGTTAAATAATGGTAGTTTTCTCACATTATTATTTATAATGTTTTCGCCACCCTCCTTTATCTTCTACAGCTTTCTATATTAGATATTGTTTTTTTTTTCTGAAATGCTCCGCTTTCCAACGATATATTATACGTATACCTTCTGACTAGTATTTCTGGAAATTCATTTTCGACCTGGATAAGCATTTTTATTTTTTTCGCCTTTATTCATTTATCAAATTATTTCAAAAGTTATATTTAGCATTTTTTGTAACTCTTAATAATGAGACATAGTTAGTTATTTAAAATAAACCATATTAAAGTGCTTTAGAGGAAGTCGCATATGAACATTAGGCATTTAAGCCCTGTAAAGTGACATCAATGGGGATGAGACCTAAATGATATTAAAGACCACATAGTTCCAAGAAATACGCTGGGTTAATAAAGCTATCTTCGATAATAAATATAATTGAATTTACTAAAATGTAGTGCTGTATTTAATTCATGGCACTTAATCGATTCAGGTAATAAGTAAATGGGTATAAGTGGGTGTAACTTTGGGTCTTCTATGACACTTTTTTGAGCAGCAAAAAACAAAATTTTCCATTCATTATTCTATAGAGAAAATGTACCTAATAATAGAAACAGCTTTTGAAAACTAACGGCCCTAATCAAAATCTCAGTTTCGGTTTAAGTGATGTCCATGTTTAATAATAAGCTCATCAAATAGTATATTATTACCTTAGATTCCATCAAATACTTAGCCGTTCCTAATGTGTTTAATAATACTCCTCGTGGTGACCATGAAAATTTGTACCGTAAGGCGTTATCTGAACATTCTGGAGCTGGCAGTCCTCCACAGTAACTGATAAAGGACTCCACCTTACCTAAATAATAACTAGATTTAATATAAGTACATTTGCTATATTTATTTTAACAGAATAAGTCGAGTTCTCGAATAGCTCTTACCTCCAGCCAAATGGACTTCATCAATACATTCCATTGCCAAAAGATGGTCAATTCCAGGATCCAAACCAACTTCATTTACTATAGTGATACCTGCTTGCACCGCCCTATATATCAATAATTAATTTTTTAAGAAATATGTATGTATTCTAACAATATAATATCTAATATGCCTACGACATATTTTTATGATCTACATATCTTTGAGAAACTCCTGTAAAACATTTATTTGCAATGGAGTACAAATGTGACTTCAGTGAATTTTTTTTGTCTTAGAAGACGGGGCCAATTCCGCCTTAAGCGGTCATGTCTAAATTCAAGCATAAAGTTTGTTTTTCTCGGATGCCTTTATTATGAATGATAATTTTTCGAATATTGACCTCATATATGAGTAAAAATAAAACATTACTAACCCGTTCAATCAATTGCGTTGTTATGGAGATTTGAGCTAAACAGTATTCCTGTTCTGAAATAGGGAGAAACAAGATTGTAGAATCCTTAAAACAAAAACTCCTTCGACCTCAACCACGAATTAAGCATTCTTATAGTCGGCACACCTTTTAGGAACTTCTGTAAAAATTTCATTTTCAATGGAAAATAATTGTGGCTTCAGTGAAAGTTTTTGTCTTAGAAAAGATAGTTCGATGGGCTTAGTTAAACATGTGATTTTCTTGATTGAATAGATTGAAGTTTATTGGTCCGAAGTTTGATCCAATATGTCTACAGTGTATGCCAATGTTTATAGCTTGATAAAAAATAACTCTTTGGTCATGAATTATCATTCGTATACACACACACACATATACAGGGTGTCCCGTAAGTAGAAGGAAATATATGAATGGTTGATGGTAGACACCAAGATCTACAAAAAAGTACTGTAAAGTAATATAAAGAATTGTCCAATTTCCCGCAGAATAGTAGGAAAATTAATCTACAAAAAAGTACAAAAAATATTAATCTACAAAAAAGTACTGTAAAGTAATATAAAGAATTGTCCAATTTCCCGCAGAAAAGTAGGAAAATTAAGATTTGAGTTTTTTTAAGCAAGTCACGTTTTTTGTTAAATAGGAAGCGATAACATTAAAAATATTTGATGTAAGTAATTAAAAATTGCTCCATAGTAAACTAGATAAAATTTAAATTAAAAGAAAGTAGAGTTTGTCATTGTTAAAACTATTCAAAGAGGTCTATTGACCGGACAAACACAGCTAAGTTCCTTTTAATAAAAGTCAAAAGTTATTTGTGAATTTTATTATCATCTTTTAACTGATCTTCTTCAATCATCTTAACACAACTTGGGGTGAATCTCAAAATGTTTCCTAATAAATCTCAGTTTAAGTTTTTTTTAAAATTGGGGTAAATGTAATACAGTCCATATAAATATAGTATGCAATATAGTTGAAGAGTGATAAAAAAAATCACAAATAATTTATGATTTTTTTTTTAAACGGAACATACCTGTCTGCCCAACAGTCATCTTTAAATAGTTTTAACAATGACAAATTCAATGTTCTTTTAAACTAAATTTTGTATAGTTTACTGTGGAACAATGTTTAATTACTTAAATCAAACATTTTTTATGTTATCGCTTCCTATTAAACAAAAAAGTGACTAGCTTACAAACAAAAATCTTAAAGTTGTTACTTTTCTGCTGCAATTTAGGCAATTGTTTATATAACCTTTTTTGTAGACCTTGTCTACTATCAATCTTTTAAATATTTCCTTCCATTCTATGGGACATTCTAGGACATGTATGTACCTAAACGCGGTCTTAACATGTGCAGTCCTAACACTCACGACTTAAAATTTGAAATCTGATAATACTTGAGGAGAATATACACCCGATCCTCATATAAAATGGATTGACTATAGTTGTTTATGTACATAGTTTGTTAGGAAAGATTGACGATTGTAAAATTGTATTTTTTTTTCTCAATAAAACCGTAAAACTTGTTATAAATGCACGTATTAGTCAAATCTCTGCTGTATATGAGTTATGTCCATTATGGTAAGTGATTGTTAAACTCATAGTAAACACAAATTGGCCAGTTGATTCAATAATTATTGCTTGACCCAGTGTACGTGGTTTGTAATTTTTCACTATTTTGTGGCATGGAATCAATCGACTAGATAGATCGCTTATACCATATCTCATCATGGAACCGGTATAGTGATAACGCTCATAGAACCCTAGATTTTCGTAGTATATTTGGCACACTTTTTGTAGGCCACTAAAATAGCACAATGAACTCATAATAAAATTTATTTCAAAGAATAAGTAGGGTTTTTTTTCTTCAGAATTTTAACACAAAATTGCGCTGACATTGACGAATATTTTTTTTTTTACTTGCATCTAAATGTATTTACATTTAATTATGTTTTTTCATTTAAAAATGAGACGCGTTCAATACATTAATAATTAATTAAAATAACAATAAAGTCAAATGAATAATTAAAATAGCTCAATTGGAGATCGTGAAAACAAATAATTATAACATCAACTTTAATATTTGATAAATTTTATTTTGATAAATTAATGACCTTTCATGAAGGGAAGACATATCGGGAGTGAGATATGAAGCAGTAACCATGTTTTTTGCATGATCTATACAAACTTCTGCCACAGCATGGTGCAACTGGTACGGCAATAGAGACACCACAAGATCGGCTGAGGCGACGAGTTCCTTTAATTTACCAGGCATGTCAATCACATCGATTTGAACAGGTGTGATCCTGTCGAGTCCTCTAGAAAGTGTCTCTACATCAGCTCGCACAGAAGATCCTAAAAAAAATGTATATTTGATCATAAAGCAATACAATAATAGTGTTACTACAAAGACATAGTATAATATCGTCGATACAAATGCTATTGAATATGAAGATATGAAATATTTTCAATTGTGCACTCTAGCGATTGTAATTTTAATTAAATATTAATTGCGTGTCACCAAGTCATACCGAAGTGTGTCTCACGAGGTGGTGATGATCTTAGCAGGAGGGGTATCTCTCGACCTTATTCTGCGAGAAGACTCGTTGATATTGTAACCAAGATTAAGAGAGCACTGGAAACAAAACAAATTCTACTCTCTTTTGTTTCCTAAGGAGATGACTAATTGATTTTTTTTAGCATGTGCATGTACTCTTACATCTTATTGTATCTTGACTATCTTTGGATATGGCATGCCATAATATTGTATATAAAATAAGTATCTTTTTTTTTGTTATTTGTATTATCTTAAATATCTTTCTTTTTTTAACTTTAATTGTATATAGTAATTATGTTTGAGTTCCCTCTTTTTCCTTGTATTTTATTTCTTTTTATTGTACATAGTATTAATTCTGTAAATATTTCTTTTTGTAAATAGATCTGTTAACCTTTTTTGCTGCTTTATAATCAAATATCCAACCTTACCCTTCTCACCTGAGCTAGCATGGTAGAATAAATGATTTATCATGGCCAAATCATGGGTAAGTAACTTATATTCTCTATAATTATCTCTTTAGAGATGAAAGGCTAGTAAAGCCAGGCGCCCAACAAATAAAAATTCCTATGGAAAATTATATTTATTAAAAATTATTTTATATATTTTTATTTTATCCTTTTTTTGGTCATAATATTCAGGTTAAAAAGGGAAGGCTGAGCAGGTCTTTCGGAGAATACACGGAATAGAATGCCCGGAGAATACAAAGGATTTCAGAAGACCCAAGAAAATGGAAAAGGATTATCCGGAACGATACCTCAATCATCGGCATTAGGTAACTACCTCGAAAGGAGCAACTTTAAGAAAATATTTTCCCACCGTTCGAATTCGCTTGAATGCAAAGTGGATTCTTCCGGAGTACTGGGTCTCTCAATTCCTTATTGGACATGAGGGTTTCCGCGCTAAATTGCATAGTTTTGGAAAAGACATAGATCTCCTTTGTCCCACTTGCGGATTACCAGAGACGGCTGAGCACGTCATAGTCGATTGCACCGCCTTTGATGGACTAAGGGCCGAAATTATAAGAAAAATTGGAGTCTATGGCCTCACGGAGGATGAATTTTCCCGGTTAGTGGCGGAGCAGAACTACTCCTATTACAAAGATTTTATCTACGGGTGGAAAGCTGTTCTGTAGCCCTCCCACTTTAATCTGGGAAGAAGAGGACCTTCTAATGAAAGGCCGCCAGACTAATATGGTGAAAAGAAAATAAATTTGTCGTTTAATAGCAGGAATGGCATGCACCTGTGTGATATACCATCTCTGAAAAATCCCGTGTAGCGGAAAGGCAAGGAAGGGAGGAATAAATAAATAAATAAAAACCAAGTTAAGGCTATATAAGACACTAATTAGGCTAGTCGCAACATATCGCAACAACGAGGCCACTTAAAAAATCATTAGCTTTGAAGGTAAAATATTAAGGCGCATTTTAGGGTCTGTGAGAGAAAAGGATATATCAGCTTAGAAAGAACAAAGAATTATACTCCTTATATGGCGATATGAAGTTGTCGGACTATGTCAGAATACAACATCTGAAGTGGTTGTGTCACCTTCGTAGAATGGATAATGGGAGAACGGTCAAAAGGGTATACCACGGTTATCCAGAAAGAGTGCGGGCTTGAGGGAGGCAAAGAAGTAGATGGAAGGACAATGTCTCAGAAGACCTCCGAAAGTTTAACATGTCTTTAAGACTGGCTGCGTACCGATAGGACTGGACTAATGCGATTGAGCAGGCCAAGAACCTAGTGCGTCTGTCGTGCTTAACTGGCTATAAGTTCTTTGGACATCAGCTCTAACTTACTCGGAAATTGCAGTATACCGCTCAAATTTGGGTTGTTTATGTGTTTGAGGGTATTTATTGAATTTGAATTCAAGCCATTTGGTTGACAAGATGTATGCATTAAAAGCGGAATAATAAAATATAAATTTTTATTTTATCTTTAATTTACACGTGACAAGTCCCCAAAAAGTGAATTGTATCCTCTTTTTCTTGAGAGTTACATACAGGACAGCAATCGTTGTCCCCCACCATCCATGGTTCATTAAGATAGGGTGTAACAGTACCCACTGAATATAGTCCTGCATAAACAGAAAAACTTGAATGAAGTCATTTTTCTAGGTTATTTTGCTTTTCTAAGTCCGCTATTCTATGTCTAACAAGAGTCAATTTTCCGCGCAGATTAGCGATATTTGCAGTACTCCATTAGTTTTACAATTATCCTCGAATTCTAACCACTTTTGGTACCAGTAAACTCTCTTAGTTATCACCTCTTTCGCTAGGATATGTGGCAAACAAAAACTCGGCATCTCCAGCACTTTCAAAATATAGTCGAAATGAATTTTAAGTGTGTCGGACGTTTTAAGTGCAATCAGGAGTATATCGAGGCGAGACCGGTTTCGTGTGCCAAAATATAATTAGGTGCATACCTTGGGAGATGCAGTAATGTTTTTACGAAGCATCTTCTAAATTTTTCCAAAACTTCATGGGGCTTGAAACCCCAAACCTGCCCAGCATAACTTAATCACCGCCCGAGAGACCGAATTATAAACCACTAGTTTACTTGAATAGGGGACATTTTTATTAGCTGTGAAATTATGCCAGGTAGAATTTAGACCAAATTTTGCATGACTTACTCTTTCAGCAAAGTGTCGTCCCAAGACCAATCTTGGAGTAATGAAAGCACCCAGATATTTAAACTCATTTACTACTTCAACAGGACTTCCTCCGAAGTTCCACCTCTCATTTTTGGTTAGTCTACCTCCATTGCGAAAAACTATTATTTTTGCTTTGGCCAAATTTATATACAAGTTCCACATTCGGCAGTAATTCTCCAAGTGGTTTATCATACGCTGCAATTTAACTGGGGAAGGGACTAATAGTACTACGTCGTCTGCATACAATAAACATCTAATATTTACTCCTGCGATTTCTAGCCCCACTTCTAAATTTTCGTGTAAATCGTTTATGAATAACGCAAATAGCAAAGGACTAAGCAGACAACCCTGTCTTAACCCTACTGATGTTTCGAAAAAGTCAGTTAGTCCTTCTTTATGATATACGGTAGCCTTAGTATTTGTATGTAAGTTCCTTATGATATTCAAGAATTGATGAGACAGCCCAAGATTAGCCAAATTAAAAAACAGAGCCCCCCTATCTATAAAATCAAACGCGGCTTTAAAATCAATGAAAAATGCATACACTTTACGACGTTCTTTTGCCAGAGACAGTTGGACAATGCTAAACAAGCTGAATATGTGGTCTACGGTTGAGTACCCCGGACGAAAACCCGCTAGGAAATCATTTAATATGTCATTTGTATTTACCCACTTCCATAAAGGCCCCAATAAAATTCCAGTCAATAATTTTGTAATTAAATTAATGAAAGATATGCCCCTAAAATTTTCAACGTTATCTCCTTTTTTGAATAACGGATAAATGATTGATTTAGTGAAGCTCTGTGGGATTCTACCACTATTAAAGTAGTGATTGAATACGTTAACAATTTGTTGCAATACGCATTCTGGGGATTTTTTGAAAAATTCATATGGCACAGAATCGATTCCTGGCGCTTTATTATTTTTTGCCTTGGCCAATTGTTTTAAGCTCATTTTCACGTCCTTTTTCAAACATGATGCGCAAGCAAAATATTTGATCAATGGTAGAACAACCTTTTCGAAAACCACACTGGTACAGGCCTAGGATCTTTTTTGGGTTGGGGAGCAGTTGTTGAAAGAGAATGTTGGAGAACACGCACAAGAGAGTATGAAGATGCCTTTGTAATTAAATACCACAGACTAGTCGATCATTCTTTTTTATGGATTGGATCCGATTTATTCCTTACCTTGATCAGCTATTATATAATTTATTACCTATTTCAAAATGACATATTAAAATAAAATAGACCTATATAAAGTTACATATATGCAATAATAAAAATATTTTTTTTATTTTGGTTTATTATTTTCAATAACGAAATATCGTGATCGACCAAAAAATCAAAAACACAACCCCCTCTCAAAATTTGAGGTTTCAAGTTTCAAGACGCGTAGAATTTGAAAAGGGAATTTTGTCCGTCCGCCGTCCGCCGTCCGTGCATTTTCTCCGAAACTACTGGACCGATTTTTTTCAAATTTTGATAAAAAATCAGAGGTCACCCGAGGATGATCCTCCTTCACCGACATTACTATCCACCTTTAACTTTCAAAATGGCGACCGAAAAATCTGCGTTGCTATAGACTGTAGCTCCTAAACGAATGTACAGATTTCAATGAAACTTCGCTAGTCATTTTCTCGACGCCCTTTAAATTTATCTATATAACATACTTCAACGAAAAGAAGCTGGAAAAAAAGTTACGAGGGATGGTAATATTAAATTCCGAATAACTCGAAAAGTTTTTACTTTTTTGTGGGTATTGTGAAGAGATATTTCAAAAGTATTTAAATTTCCTAAAAATGAAGGAAGTTTCATCGAAACCCAAGCACTATTAGTAGAGATATCGCGGTTTTTACATATTTTGGTTTATTATTTTCAATAATGAAACATTGTGATCGACCAAAAAATTCAAAAACATAACCCTCTCTCAAAATTTGAGGTTTCACGTTTCAAGACCCGTAGAATTCGAAAAGCGAATAAAAATCTTTTTGTCCGTCCGCCGTCCGCGCATATTCTCCGAAACTACTGGACCGATTTTTTTTCAAATTTTGATATAAAATCAAAGGTCACCCGAGGATGATCCTCCTTCATCGACATTACTATCCGCCTTTAACTTTCAAAATGGCGGCCGAAAAACTTGCGTTGCTAT